GGTGGTGACAGCAATGAGGACCATTGCTTTTATTATGATGTTACTATCATCTTGTTTTGTACTTTTTTTATTCGTGTGGCATAGTTCTTGTTTTTATTAGACGCCCTTCAATTATTGCGCGATGTTAGAACTGTTAAAACCTGATTAATAAGATCCCTCAACTTAGCTATCATCAGTTGAGTTGGAGTTTCCTGTCCTTGAGCGATCTTGTTTTGAAAGTAAGTTCCTTGAAAGATCCATTTTTACATTACATGGATTATAAATAATTCTCAATTTCAACAGTTCTGACCGAGGCTAAATGTGCCTTTTAACCTGGAAGCGATGCAAAAGACGGTAAATCAAAGAAACTTTTGCTGTTTTACAGACTTCTCCTCAACATCCGTTCTACTGTTTTATTCATTTGAATTGCGAGGGCCTTTGTTTAGTTGTTTTTAAGTGACAGAAAATGACAGAACAGACAGCATTTGTCCCTCATCGACGAATATCAATCCTCAACTCTAATTGGAGCTAATTACTTAGTTACGAGCAATTTTCAAAGTCTATGGAAACACCACACTCAATTTTCTCGTTTGATAACTTTAAATTCTTCTTTATTCGTGGCATCTCGACCCGTGTTTTGTTGTTTACAAGCAACATGAAAGTGAAACCAATCGTTGGTTCCAGAGGGGTTTATTCATCTCGCGACAGTAAGCATCAGTGCCTAGTGCACAGAGGGGGTTTCAAAATGACCTAAGAAATTGCAAAACTCCCACTAGGAGTTAGAATTAGTCTCGTGGATCTTGGTGTCAGGGTTGAGCTTGTCCGGTATTTATAGACTCAATAAACATAATTGATTGATTGAATAATCAAAACATTATGTTTTCGGATGTGGAAGAATTTATCTCCTTACATATTACAGGGACAAAAGCGATAAATTTAGTCGGAACCTTCGAAATTATGCTGTGGTAACAAGAACTAGAGACAAGAATTAAGGTTTATTTACACGAGTAATTTTAAGTATGGGAAGCCATAGGTTGAATTTATAATTATCCTTCTTGATTATTCTAAATTGTACTTTATATCTTTTATTCGCTAATTACTTTTTTAGTCCAGCTTTCTTTCGCCCCTTGAAAACACTTTTACTATCAGGACAAAACAGTCAGTAGGCTAAATCTGGCGTGAACATATGCTCTCTTACTCGTCTGCACACATAATCTGTTCCGAGAAGCGAACAGTCCTCTAATGAAGAAGTGCTTAAAAATGAGTGTACTTCGAGATACGGATAACGACAAACCGTAGCCGTCTTCAGGATGGATAACAAGAGGAGAAGTTTATCTTATTCGTTGCACAAGTTCAATGACGCTATACGGAGTCACGCGCGCACATCATATTTTACGACCCCTTTACATTGATATTCTTTGCATGCAGCTAATTAAAGTAAGCAATCATGAAATCACGAATCACAACCCAGTCATATACCTGATTGAATGCGCCTCTCGTGTTCTGGTTTATCTCTGTTTCGACCGAAGACTCTGTTCCTTGACTCAATCAGCAAGTAAGCACCTGTTGTTTCCTTCAGTAAATGAATGCTGAAACAGCAAGTATGCATATAGAATCATTCAAAACATGAACCCAATCACTGAATAGCCTTTTTAAGGTTTAGCTTGCTACTTTAAGAAAGAAATCGTTTGTTTGATGAATGTTATGCAGAAATGAACTGTACCAGCTTTGAAAATTCAGAGATGCTTCTAAGTTAAATGCAGTAATCATCATAGCGATGCCATTGCGAAATAGTTTCGTTGCGAATGTTTTAGTTTCCGCTTCTGAGCATTAAATATTTGTGACTGAAATCTAGAATATTAACTTTTAAACTCACCGTTTTGAGAAAGTCAGGAATTATAGCAGCAGGCGTCGATAGTTTCATAAAAAAGCAGCAACAAAGTCACATTCGGCAATCAATGACATCAACATGAAAGTGAAACTGGGTTTTCTTTCGAAGTGGCGCCTCTTTTTTACATAATCTTAATTTTTGTGCTTTCTAAGATTAGTGAATGAAATGAGCTGACCCCTTTGTGAGTTATGTCAGTCAAGCATTCAGTCCAGCCAGCAGGTACTGTTCCACGAATAAAGGAGTTTTTATGATCTGCTGATTTGGGCTATTTTTGGCTGAAATCCGTCCATCTAAGTTAGAAGAGGGTATCAGTTTGAATATAGAGAAAAAATGCACGATTCTGCCGCTTGAAAATACAAAAGAAAGATCCATAATGACTCATCGGATCCTGTACAAGCTTTTAAACTTCACATTCAGCATTCAAAATAGCCTGAGGCGTCTTATGAGGGCGAGTTAAAGGTAAGGAGCTTACGATTGTCTATTAGACCACAGGCGGCCTTAGCTCCAGCTGTAAGATGATCATCTTGCGCAATAACAGTCATGGCGGAATTATAATAGTTTTGTATGGGAGTATTTACGACCGCTCTAGGGAATAAAAAAATACTTCTAATTCTCAATAAAAATACCTCACCTTACTTCCACAGCGTATCACTTGTTATCTGAACGCCTACTTTAATGAAAAGAACCCATTTTAGCGAGTTGTCCATTTCGAGGTTTTCAACGTGCATAAGAAAAGCCCAAGGCTGAACACTCCATTTCCGAACGCCCGATCCGAGAAGCGAGAAATCCAAGCTCAAAATGACCAGGCGGCCACAAATCTAACGCAGAATACAAGCGCATATACTGTCATTTCATTACAATTCACTACAAACTTAATCTTCCCCGTGCTCAGTGTCAGCGGTGTTCTCTGTAAGGGGCAGCATTTTCCTTTTCTTCTAATTTCCTGCTGGGAAAAAAAAAATTGAGCATAATCAATAAAGGTTCCATCTACGTTCTTCATGGATTTCTAACGGTATCTAAGTAATTATTACAAATTTGAAGGTTAGCATTATTTTCGAGAAAATTCGGCTAGAATAAATTTCCCTTGCAATTATCCAGTAATTTATGAAAAGGACCGTGAAAGAAAAAATTAAATGTAAGTGAAGAGGCAATTTTGATATTGTCTCTCTCTGGTTGAATAACTTTCTGGTTTAAAGGAGCTCTTCAAAACTGTAGCTGTGGGTAGTTTCTCACCAGTTCCACCTGCTTTTTTCTGCCAAGCTGCTAATGCCCGACTGTTTCACTTTCCGCACCAACCCCACACTGTATCACAATAATATAGGATTGGTCTAATGCAGGAGATAAGAAGCTACCGATTTTTTTTTCGGCTTACGATGCTGAATACTCATTAACGATTAATTTTTCAAAACCTGCATTGGATAATTTGAAAAGGCCTCGAATAAGAAATGCCATAATATTTCATTTTTATGGTTAAATTAATGAATAGCTGTTCTCTGGCATCTTCTAATAACGACGCATTTTGCAATAACTTGTGCATTTTGTTCATAACGGTTGCGGCACTTTGTAGCAAGTCGGGAAAAGGTGTGCTAGCCCCTTGGAAGAGAGGAAGTCTTTAAACAAGTCGAAAGGAAGGAAGAACTGAATTTTTACGCAAAATCACGACAAATGTATCATCAACAGTAATTAGAAAAGCAGAAAAGGAATAAGAGAGTAACAACAAACATCAAGCCAGCAATTTCCTGAAATCTCACCCTCTTCCCCCCCTCCCCGCAGTTTTCATCAGCTTTCATTAGCTCTGCATATCCATGGCTTTTATAAAGTTCATCATATAAATGGAAAATGAAATTCAAGGT